GACCTTTGTCTGTTTTACTCATTGATGTATCCAAGTGCCTAGAGCAATTGACACGAATTAAGGCACTGGGAGGCTACAATTATGGATATCTTCTACACCATCTAATCCAAAATGATGTCATTAAATTAGTATAATGTGAAGGGCACACCAAAGTTTTGCCACCCCAAAATATGCTTTATGGGATATTGATTTGAAACTGGTTATTAAGAAACAAAAGACTCAGAACCTTTGAACCTCCCCCCCTTATCTGTTTGGAAAAACCTTAGAGGAAGGGAACATCATTTAGCATCATAGCATAAAGTAAATGTGCAAACAAAGAAATTTAGCAAAGCTTGTTAGTTGAACTTGGCTGTGTGTCCCATTGTTTCTGGGTAGCCCAGCAAGAATTTGTTTACATGTTTACTCTTTCTCAGTCTACCTGTAAATTACCTGCTTTCCATGTGAAATCCCAGACCCCTGCTTCCTTCTCCTTTGTCCAAAATGGCATATGTACCTCAACTGTTCAGTGTGTCTCCCGGTCCCCCTCCTATGGCACCTCCAAATGTACATCGGTAATAAATTGTTAGACATTGTCTCCCGTTAATCGGTTTCATGTTATTAGCCCAGCTAGAACTCAGAAGGTGAGAGGAAAAATTATTTTCCTCACAAATGTCACATCCCCCAAGGGATCTTCCTAGCTCGGCTGGGGGTTGGTGGGGTGGGGGGCACAGAGGAAGCTTTCTTATCTCTGCCCCACAGCCTCAGCAAATTGTCCCCACCTTAACAGGCCTCTCCCTGCCTGTACTTAACTGCCTGTACTTAAGTTTTTTTAAAAAATAAAGGAAGGGATTAATAAAACTAATTAAGGAATAAGTAGGGCCCTAGATCTGGGGCATGTGAGTAAATACCTGTCTGCTCACCACCCATAACTGAAGCTAGGCAAACTTCTGTAAGCCATAATTTTACTTGTAGGTAGAACAGCCAAGGGATTAAGTTTCCTTCCTAATCATTCAAACCACAGGAAAGAGAAGGCAAACGAAATGCAGTCTTGCTTCTGAATATACTGTACTAAGACTGTATTTTATAGTTTATTAAGAGCCTACTGTGTCCTTAACAGGTAAGAAGTTAAAAAAACCCTGGTAGATCTACAATTAACTACTACTCAGTAATAACAAGGAAAAATGATTGCTACATACAACATGGATCTCAAATGCATTATGCTAATGGAAAAAGACAACCTCCAAAAGATTACATACTGTACGATCCTCTTATTATATGGCATCCGGAAAAGGCAAAACTGACGGAAGGGGGAATGAATCAGTGGTTGCCTAATTAGGGTTAGGAGTGGGGGACAAGTGTAACTACAAAGGTGTAGCAAAGGAAATTTTGGGGGGTGATGGAACAATTCTATATTGTGGTTGAGGTGGTAATTACATGATCCTATGCATGTGTTAAAACTCAGAACTGTATTCCCCACCAAAGAGTGAATTTACTGTATGTAAATTATATTGAAAAAGAATCCATTGCATATACGACATAAATTCATTAGGTCTCTGGGGGCTCTGAGACAAATTCCTTCCCTTGATCAGCCTGTCAATGTGGGACACCCAGGAATGCGTGGTCTTGGAGCACAAGTGTGAAAGTGAGCGAATACTGCTTGATATGGCCTCTGGGTAAGTACATTACACCTGGTACCCAATTTAGCATGTAATCAACTGGAAACCATTTTGTAGAAAATTCCTTTATTATAGTGCAAATAACTTTCAGCAGTGACATAATAATGTAAAAACACATTTAGCACATTTTACACCACGCAGTAAATAAGAAAGTGTTTCTTTGAAAATATCTTATCAGAGGAACATTATTTCCACATTAATGCCAGAAAACACCAATGCTGTTTCTCTCAAGGCAACAGGGCTCCCTCCTTTTAGATATTTTCTTTTTAATACAAATGAAAGGATTTGCCATTTTAACAAATCACCATCAATTCTAAAAGTGATCTGTTAAGAGTTTTGAACTGAGGTTGGCAAAATTGGAAATGGGGTTTCAAATTTTAAAAAAAGAATTTTAAGACAATTCTGGGCTAGCCCTGGGAATAGAAGTCACTTCTATTAACTTTTAAGTAGATACATTCACTCCAACTGTGATGCAGAAATGGACAGATTGTCTAAAGCCTGCCTTTTATTCCCCCAGAGCCTGATTGTTAATTACACTCCTTGGTTTTGGTCACACTGCAAAATGAGGACTCTGGTCAGAAATAACTCCTTACATACCCAAATGCTTTCCTGTGAAGCTTTAAATTGCACTTTCTGTCCTGAATTCCCACCTTGAAGCACATAGGCTGAGGAGAGGATATGAACATTGTTTCCAGTTCACAGCTAACAATTAGGCCCTGCTAATTTGCCTAGTGCTGACCCAAACTATCACATCACTTAGATTAATTCCAAATAGGCATAACCAAGAGGTTCCCACCGACCTCATAGAGAAATGAAGGGTTAACAGCTTGTCTTTACACTAAGCTGCCTAAGGGCTTGGCTGCTAACCAGTTAGCTGATAGGTAGAGCACAGTGTGTCAATTCCAATCAGTTACACTCCCAGCTCCTCTGGTTTCTGCTGAATTATGCAGTGGGTGGGAATGGATGGCCACTCAAAGGAAACCTCCCATGGGTTCTTCCCGTGGAATCAAAACCCCTACAAATATATTTCAGGGTGCCCTCTAAGTTTCTCTACAAACACTCCTCAAAATCTAGTAGCTTCATGAGCCACGAGAAGTTAATCATAGGCTTGAAAACACCTGGAGCCACGGAACAGCCTCTTGGCTGAATGTGGCTGATTAAATCAGCGGGTCCATAATGCTTTTCAATGCTCAGCCAGTCTTGTTGGGTAAAGTATCTTCTTATATAACACAACAGAACTGTGCTAAATAGTTTCAAAGGTAGAAGAATCCAAGTATACCACCTATAAAAAATTCACAATTTTAATTTTCTTTTTAAGACTTTGGTACTGAAACACTGTCTACATTCTCGACACGTGAAAATGACGTGGCCACTTCAGTGCCTCTGCATGTTGTGTAAAAAAACTCAAAGCAAAGCAGGACAGGACGCGTCATAACAAGACCTGGTATGCTGTACAAACAAAACCTAAATTATATATAAATACACTCCCACCCCAGCACCCCTTCTCCCCA